TATTGCGAGTACAATTAAAAGCTATTAATCAATAAAGATCGTATAGCACTCGTTTCATCCACCAGTCTAAACGCAAGTCGGGAAACGGAATGAGCTTTAAAGGGCGGCATTGCGTTCTTCAGTAATCCGCACGATCAGATCGCGTCTCGTGCGTGCGCGATTATGGAACGCGATCTTGATGCAAGGAACGGTGTAAAATAAAGCGCGACGAAAATAATGGGGCAGTGACGCGCCGCGCAGTTTCGCGTTAATTCATATAACGACACATCGCGTGTTCGCGATGAATGGGAAAAGCTTTAGTAAATATAGTCCGGGAAGGGTTAGAATTAGAACAGTGAGTTAAAATCAGCGTTTTTACGTATACACCCGCTTGCCAGATACGTCATATGATGCGCCGCGATCAAACTATAGGTTGTGAATCTGTTTATTTTCCAAGCGCGCAACATTCGCGATTGTTGCGCAAAGCGTTTATATATATATATATATACTTAAAAATTGAAAGATGTGAGTTTTGCTTCCATATCTTTCATTTAATCCTTAAAGTTTGCGATATAATCATCTTCTTTAATTAATATTTTGGGATATTCCTAACACAAGTTTCATTGAAATTATTTGCTACCTTTACGTAAAATAATTCATTCTCATGAATAACAAAGGAAAAGACCGATTCGCAGTGAATGGTGTTGTTCGCTATCGTGCGCGAACGCGAAACAAAAGCTCGGACTGTGTTCCTTAGTTCACGGAATAACAAAGTTTTTTTCTCGCCGTCAAGCGCGCGCTGTCACCGTCTTACCACCTCGACGCGAAATCGACGTTTCGCCGTGTGCGCGATCGATCGATCAATGCACATGTGTTCCGCGACAGTATGCACAGCTTTTCCACAGCCGGGGGTGGAAATATAAATTATTACGCGCGCGCGCAAGTAGTGAATGAAAAACGACATAGGCGCGCTCAGTATATATCTCCCTCGCTATCTTTACCGGCAATGTACGACGGAGAGATCTAGGAAAAGTCCGCTCGGCGCGTGTTTCCCGCGATCGAATTCGGTTTATTATACAAGAGCGTACACCGCCACTCGGAGTGAGGGTCAGCGACCAGCCAGCCGGCATCGGTCTGTACATCTTGAGGCCGAGACACAGTAAAATACGACGGAATACGGTATTAGAAATGAGAAATATAAGTAGACGTAATATTACAACAATGCCGGAAATAAATTGCCGGATCATTTCGACGTGCAAGGTCGTAGCGAAGGGTAAAAGCGTTAGCGCTTCTCGATATGCGACGTCGATTACACGCAATTAGAGAATTTACTTAAATGTGATAATTATTTAAGTACAAGAGTACTAATAGCTGTTCAAATACCACTATAGGTTAAGTTTGCTTGGTAAACTTCTCAAAGTTTACTTAGGACAATTTGAGAGCCAAACACAAATATATTATAAAAGTATATCATCAGAAAGCGCATAAGCGTTACTGAAGTTATGAGAACGTTATGATGAAAATACTTGGTGCAACAAAGCGCTAATATCCGACGGTCGAGCGATTGGAAGAATATATAAATGCAAATCCGTAATAAATATATACATACATGTTTCTAACACGAGTGTTTTTTCTCAGAATAATACTACACAAAATTCTTCACATAATACAACGAGATATTTAACAGCAGAGTAGAAAAAAAAGAACTGAAAATTATTAAATTTACATTAAAAGCGCGTGGAAGGAGATTGCGAGCGTTCCGAGCGAATGGCCCGCATTTAATCATCGCGCGTTCCTTTAGTCGGTGAACTGGTCGCGGCGACGTCGCACGTGAAACTCATTTGCATCTCGTTACAACGCGACGTCTAACGCGTCGATTAATAATCGCCGATAATGAGACGCGACTTCGAAAGATCAGAGAAGCGTGGTGTACCCGGCGAAACATTCATATGCGACGCGAATGTGACGCGAGAGTGGTCCAGCTGATAAGACGGTCGCCTTATCGTCGGGCGATTGTGTCCGCGACCGAGTCGTCGATATCGAATTAAAAGGGATTATCGCGTGAGATGTTGGGGTCGAGATACAATGAAATGCGAGAGTAAGATATAAAGAGCACGGAGTGTGAGAATGACAGACGGTGTATATATATATATTAATATTTAAGAATTATTTTACTAATTAAAAATTATTTACTCTTATTTGAATAAATCTCTTGATATTTTGGTCAACAAACCGTTACTCGACAAATTCCCCGTTTGAAATAACGTGTAAATCTTAAAGATATCATAGATTGCTTATCGCAGCTGTTACTAGCGATATAATAGCATATCATCGTGTATTATTAGCAAAAATCGCTATCTGATACTTGTGTTGTATGCAATTAATGTAAACATTTTTCACCAACTGTTTACTGTATCTTTTCTTTCGTTTCCTAACGGCGATTGAAGAGTTCCAGGACATATAATACACCATCTATCCATCAATCTATCTATACATCTATCTGTGCTTCGCGCGTTCTTTGTATCTTATCCTTGTAGTTGATAGCCTCACGTGTGTGCGCAACTTGACGGAATCTCCGCTCGACTACCAACTATGCCGGCTCGTTAGGATGTTCGCTTTGTCGGATCGTTTATGCGTGCAAACTTGCGCAGATTCCGCACCGATGCTCGCGCGCTAGATAGCGAACCGATCAAAACGACCATCGATGATTTATGGTATCTCAAGTAAAATGACGCTGCATAATAAAAGTTAAGAAGTTTTTTCAAGCACGAACACAATGTAAAATATTTTATGCAAATATATTAAAAAATAAATATTGCACCGCGTTACAATGCATATATTAAATAAACATTAAAATTACATTACAACGATAATTCCGCGTAAATAGAAAGTAGGAAAATTATGTAGGAAAACTATGATTGATTTACACTGTCGAATAGCTGAACGTGATTCGTTGGTTAATAATTTTACGATGTTTCTATAATCGTTCGATATTAAAAGTAATTAATTGACGCTAATTATACGTGTTTTTATACTGTTTCTATTGAAATTATCACAAGCGCGCGTTCTAAATCATCGAACGTTGTTTTAAGGATCTGATTAAACCTCACCGTGGGTAAGAGATATAAATTATCACAGAGGCGTGATCCTCGGATTACACGGTAGATACCAAGTGCGCTCTTTTCTCTCTCGTGTTCTACGAAGGGAGGGCGTCTTTAATCGGAGCGAGAGAACCGAGCCTGGTCCCCATTATTTTCTCGGTCAACCTAACAAAGTCGATATATAACGACAGAAAAAAAAAGAATTAGTGACCTAACAATCGCCGGATCGCAATCCTTAATAACGTTATGTCTTACGTCATTAATGTTTCCACTTTAGTAATATGTATTATTTTGTGCGTCATTGATTCTTGACTTTTCTTATGTTTGTCTACAAATATGATTCAAATGTATCACGATGAAGCAATTTTTATCGTAAATTTTTATGATAATTACAAAAATAACTGTAAAAATTTACGACACATTGGAGCAATATACATATACATTTGAATATAATGAGAACTATTATATTTTCTCACGCGCATTCATAAAGTTATACTTGTCTAAACAGAAGTAAACTTCAGAGCGCTAAAACGATAAATTGGCATAATAAAGCTATAATCAAATTCTTCTTTATTAGCGGAAATTTGATAGGCTAAGAGAGATTGCAGCGAACACTGTTGACGTTATCGCTACTATGTGAGCGTAGACGATAACTACATACTATATAATGTAGATTTTTCAAGAAATTATCATTAAAGAAAAATTGACGCAATGCTTTACAAATAAAAATAATTATTTGAATAAAATGTAAGTTTTCTAAATAGGATATGTATAGATTTTACTTTTCTATTAATTCTCTCTCAGAATTTTTCAATTTTTATATTTATATTATCACATACAGTTTACTTATTATTACTTTTTTAATCCAATAATAAATTATATAATATGCAAATTATGTAATGCTCGTTTTCCAACTCTGACTATAAATTAGATAAAGAAGTTACTATTGTATATCAACGTGAACAATGTAATATTGCATACACGTTTCCTCAGACAAGCCTTATCAGTACAGAATTAATCCCAGAGTAGAGATAATTAATGGTATCGAAAAGAAAGTTGTCAGCGGTAATTATTTTATGGAAACAAATTTAATTCACTGTAGTTATTATAAACTATAGTGCTATTTTGCATTAGCTCGAAAGTGATATAATATCCCAGGAGATATATTCCTTATTTTGATCGGAGAATATTGGAGCTAGATAGATCCAACTAGAAATCATAATAAAATTATGATTCTTTGAATAAGACAGCAAATATTGAATTAGAAGCAGAATATGAGAGCGTAGCAGAAATCAAATTGAAATCGTGATATAATTATTGTTATCACATTACGAAATTATAATGCACTATTGTCAAATTGTCATAGCTACCGTGATCAAATTTGGTGTTAAATCCTCCAATATTTTAATAATTCTATATTATTAAGTCTTTTTGTTGCAGCAATAATATAAAATCCCAATGACCATTTTAAATTAATACTACGTACGTATAAGTTTCGAATAAAATGGAAATTGGGTTTAAAAGGTCAAAGATCACTAATGCGAAAAAAAACATGGATTCCAGACCAGTTCTTCACAAAGTAGACCTTAGTAGTTTGGCTTTTCGCGAGAAACGCACAGTCGAAAAGATTCTCGAGAGACGGCAAACGCGCGTCGAACAGGCGCTCGAGATACCGACCTGGACGGGGTCCAAGAAGACGTACACGCATACCTAACAAACATCGATAGTGGGGGGAGAGAGAGAGAGAGAGAAAGAGAGGTCTCGATGGAGATTCACCGTGACCGAAAGAGTGTTTCTCCCTATCCTCTCCCTCCCACCTTCCTTTTCATCTTCCCTCTCTTTCTTTCTCTCCCTCTTTCTCTCATTCGTTCCTTTCATTTTTTTTTCTCTCGCCGCCGCTACTGCGTTTGGTAAACTCACCGGATCTCGCAACCGGGCAGCCTACTGGATCATCAGCGGGGCATGTCGACGGCGGGAGTCAGGTCGGCCGGCCGAGTCCCTGCTGAGCAGCGTATCGATCGATCTCCCCCGCGCGAGAACGTCAACGGGAGCGAGGTCGAGGCGAACGAGCGAACGAGCGAGCGAGCGAGCGATCCTCGGGATCGGCGCCGCGACGCGACGCAACGCGTCGCACCGCACCGAGCCGCGCGATCGCGATCTCGCTCGAGGACACGCCACGCGCGCACACACGCGCCGTCGACGACGAAGGACGACAGAGACGCGCACACTGTTTAGCAAACGAACGTGCGAGCGCCGATTCGCCGGCGATGGAAGTTACAACGTCGTGTCGCTGTTTCGTGTCCCTCTCTACTTTTCCCACACTCTTTCTCTTTCTCTCTCACGACGTTCAGCCGTTCTCCAGAACGACGTCAATGGTCCCGCGCGCGCGATCGATATCTCCCCACACCGCGTTACAGCACCCCCGCGACCGCTCACAAATACGGAGAGACAGAAAGAGAGCGAGATCGCGGAACGGCGCGATCGTTCGTCGATCAAAACAAAACTTGCCGCTACTACTGATGCTGTTGTTGCTCTTCCTCCTCCACCTCTTTGCCGGATGCGGATTCTCGCACACCAATTCGCGCCGTCGCTGCTGATACCACGCTGAACGAATGAAACAACAAGCACCCACGGTCTCTTTCTCTTACTCTCTCGTCGTTGTCTCTCTATCTGCGGCTTTTTTTCTTTGGCACACTCTCTTTTTCTCTCTTATACAGTCTCCCTTCTCTACACGGCGCGAGCACGATGTGTGTGTGTGTATGTGTATTGTATGCTAGTGCTGTGCTGCTCGCGATCCGTCGGCGATGAGTTGATCTCGCGCACAGTCGCTAGTCGACGATTCACGTCGCGGCCTGCATCGATTAAAAAAAATCGTAATAATCGTTAATTTTCTTCAAGTCCGAATTTTTTCTTCTCCCTCGTGCGTTTCTCTCTCTCTCTTCTCGCTTCCTTCACCTTCGCCGTGAATCACTCGCAAAAGGGCGCACGATTATTTATAGGGGCGTACAGGTTAATAACGTGTCGCGGCGTGTCGTGAATTATTCTTAGGTCGTCGTGCGTACGTATACATGCGTGCGAGGACGCCCGCTCCGTTTGTCGCACGCGTGGTTAGATAGGTTAGCTTTTATCCACGACGTGATCGCGGGGACTAGATACGTTGACTAGATGCACGGCGCGCGGGAGTGTCTTTCTTAAAATATACTTTTCACGCGTGACGACGACAACAACGACGAAAACGACGACGACGACGACGACGATTAGCGAGGTGAAGACGGCGCGGTAATTCCGACGGCGTAACACGCGCGGACGGCACTGCTTCTCCTCTACGCTGCCAGAGCGTATTCAAATTTAGACACACGTCGTCTCTTCACGACGGCGAGTGCTGCCCTGGCGCACACACGTCGCGCGTATGTACCACGATGCACGACGGTGACGACGGCGGCGGCGACGGCGGGTAGCCGCTTGTGGTGAGCTTGCCGTGAGGACGGTTAAAAAACCGGGGCCGGTCGCGCACGCTTCGACCAGTTCGCCCCGAGTTCGCGGTCGAGCCTGAAATAGAGAAAGATTTGAGGAAGTCGCACTGAGAACCGAGCGAGTGTGCGTCGTGTATGCGAGCGAGACGGACGGAGTAGGAACGCGCGCGGGAGTAAGAAAGAAAGAGAGAGAGAGGGGGGAAAACGAGTCGCCGCGCTATAATCGTGTACCAGTCGGTCCACCTCACCTCTAAAGTTTGCCTCGGATACTTCGTCGCAGCACGCCTGTTCATTGGTCGATAACACTGCCGACGTCAGTTGGCAATCGGCCAATCGCGACGTCGTGCGACACGTGCGCGCGCCATCTCGCGGCGTTCATCGTTGGCTTCGTGGTTTGTGGGTGCATAATCGCGTCCTTTTTGCACTTACGGCACGCCGTCGCATGTCCTCGCAGTTGGCTAGTGTAACGCGACGCGTGCGCGACGTGATCGTTTCACTTGCGTTGGCGAACGAAACGCTGCTGTCTCCGCCACATGAGACTATTCTAAAGATCTGACCAGCGGCACGACCAGAAACTTGTTCTTACAAACAGGCGTTTTCCTCTTTTTTTTCTTTTTTTCTTTTATCAGTTTAGCAATTATGATGATACTTCAGCTCGACTGAAGAGTTTCATTAATCGCAATTTCTTGATTGATGAGCTTGAGCTGATTCGAAGCTCTCACATAATGACGCGGATAAAAACATAAAATATGAGAAAAAATACATGCATATGTTTAATCTTAATACCTACTTTTTTAAGTTTTATGTTATGTTTCAATGTGCAAATTTCTGGCGCAATAAACAGTAATCGTGATAGTTAAATTTGAGAAGTAGTAAAAGAGACTTTTGTCTTCTTAAATTTTCATTAACATAGACATAAAAGAAAGATATTCATTAAGTGTTTACTTATTGAATTATAACATTAAATATGTAAGATACGTATATAATTGAGATTGTATGCTTTTGTATAAAAGTAAGATTTAGTTATCTATGCTTTTATGTAAAATACAATAAATTACTATAGAAATTACATGAATGCAATTCAAGTTATAAGAATTACTTTCTCCAATTTCATCGTTTTAATCAACACTTAGTAAATTTTTAGGAAATTTCTAATAAAGCTTTTTACATTAAAGATAATAGCGAAAAAACACAAGCGCAATTTAAAGAAATAATAAGGAGAAATTGCACAGACAGATGTAACGATCTCTCGATTTTCCGATCACGCGTAGATATAATCGATTCAGTACGCAGTAAACAATCTACAATTCTAAGCAATCATCTTGAATATAATTTGCAGTCTTACGACGCATATGTTATGATTAAGTTTTCTTACGACGTAATGTTTTCCTTGATCGACGCGAGGCAAAAAGCGATAGAAAACGTGTTACGATAGCAGTAAGAAAACACTTCACATATCGCGAAAAAGAGGCAATTATGAAACGAAATTAACGGGATTACGGATCATTATGTTGTTATGCTAGTAGGACAAAAGAAGTTATCTACAAGATGAAAAGATGGATAGAGAAAGATGACTAATGCACTTCAACGCGTGCATAAGACGTTCGTCAACAACGAGATACGTTCGGCGAAAGGCCGCGTGTTTACGCACATGTGACATCTTTACACTTTATTAATATTTCGCCCGCCAGAAATAACGGCAGGTATGGTTCAAGAATCGACCTACGTTTTATACAAAGTTGGCGCATTATAAAGTGTGTACGCCCGAGTCGACGAAAATAACAATTGTGTTATAGACTGACCGATGGCGCGCAAACGCGACGACTAAACTCATATTCCGTGGTATGCAAGTGTACGATTCTATTTACGGCATTATCCATACGATTCGATTTCCGTATAACTCTGTATGAGAAGCATGCTTTTTTTATTTTGCAGCAAAATTCGTATCTGCAAAAGCGATGAGTTTCTCTAGAGAATAAATTATGTATACAACAGAATTATGTATGCAAAATTTTAAGATATTACTCATAATTCAAACGTTTCTACAAATGACAATTTTTCAAGCTCAAGCTTACATTGTTAATCAAATATTATATATTCACATATACATTCATATTATATTCTCTTATATAATCTCATTATATAATCATATATTCACTCATAGCACGTATAAAATATCCATATATGGAAATCGAAGAATATGAAATAAATTTCAAAAATCTTTTCTTTGTTCGTTATTCTTTAACAGAATTCTAACACATGAGATGCAAAAGTTTGTTATTAATTAGTGTCCCATCAAAATTTCTTTGCAGAAAACATTGTAATTATTAGTAACAGATAGAACAGAGAATTCATAACATTTGAAAAATGAATTACTTTTGCTACAATTCTAAACCGAAAACTTTAGAAAACGAGATTTTGGAAACAGATAAAACAGCATGGAAGTGAGCGTTCGCCAGTTCGAAGAGAAGAAGAGATGCACGATATAATCTAAAATCGCTCGTTGACAGAATTTTCGAAGCTGCGATCGACATCCAAAACCAATGTCCCGATTTCCACCGGATGCATCCGAAATTGACGTCGATTTGCTAAGGCGATATCGAGTATCGCGGTTACACGTCAGTCGAGTCGCCGACACTCGCGGTCCATCCATCCGAGAGTAGACGGCCGATAGTACGGTTTAAAATCTGTCCTGACAAATATCTAATTCTGAAAATATCCACACATACGGTTTCGTAGGTAAGTTTTATGATAAGCCATTAAGCATCTTGGAATTGCGTTTACGGATAGAGCAGGACTGTAGTGAGATTAATCTCTTTTACTGGAATAGAACGGAACAAGAAACCGGGGAGACGTACACTAAAATCATTATTACAGAATCTATTCACAATTACTACACCGCAAAACCGTTCGCAATTATAAATTTCTCCTCGTGAAAATCTCCTAAAAGAATTAAATAATCTCTTATCAACAAACACGAATTTGTTCGTAAAGAAATTTTATAATATATCTAGCAAAGAATTAAGGAAAAATTATTTATAAAATTAAAAAAAAATGATGACACAGTGCCACAGTGCGAGATTATTCGCGTGGATCGCGAACTAGCAAAAGTTCGACAGGCCTGGTTTAGGCCTGACAACTCGTGCACAACTGTTGCACTGGCCTGGATTGTACAATAAGGCGGAGATCCACGGAGGGGAAGGAGCGCGTGTCGTATATTCGTGTCGAATATTCGTTGATGTAAAAAGCTCTCTCGCGCGGGTCCGCGCGCGGTGCCTGTCGATATTTAACGAATTATCGCTGGCACGAGGGTAAATATAAATCTACTCCAGGTCGGATCGTAATGCATTATGCATGAGTTGCAATGTAGCTGTCCCCCTACAGAGGTCGGACAACCTAACCCGTCGAGAGAGGAGGCGAGTGTTCAATATGTCCTGGCTTATCGATCTCGCCGAGCGAGCGCGAGAAGACACGAGAAACGGAAGACTGATAAGTAATTAATAAGCCTAAAACGGGCCCGCGCTCGACGATGATCGTTCGCACTCCGAAATACGTTTCTACGTGCGCAACGTGTGATGCCGAGTTGCATAGTCGGCAACGGGGTTGGTGGATTGATTAGAAAAGCGATTGCACTCAACAGTACCAGAACTATGTGATGCTGCTGTGAGAACTAGTCCTCGATTCCTTCAAAATAATTCTAAAATAGTTTCGAAAAAATAATTAAATGTTAAATCTAATTATGCAAATTGATTATTTTAGCTCAAAATAATTTTTCACTGTACATTAATCCAATTGTAAATAATATATATCGTGATTCTAAAATTATTCAGATTAAAAATATAAAGTATATAACTGAGAAATCATTTATCTTTCTGCTTATTTATACTTTTATCTTACTCTCAAATATTGATATAGAAATATTTTAATTATTCAATTATGAATTATAAACAATGTACTTTGAAGAATATATTACATCATTTAATTTTCAAATATGAAAATTTTTATATTTGAGAATGACGTAAAGATTCATGATGCGATGCAAGATTCCAAACACTGTTAAGAATTCGTATATATAGCATTATCAGTACGCCATAAAATATCGAAAAATAACGTCAGCTCACCGGAACGAACAAGGATATTTAATTAAGCGGCATAAGTTATGCATGGACCACCGGCAAGATAGAGCAAACCCGACGCGTCGGATGGATCAACTGCGCGCACATTACAGTGACACGTTCAGGGAGAAAATATACCTATCCATTCAGTTGGAAGTGACAAATTAAGAGCGAAGCACGGATAATAGACGAATAACTCGGTTATGAGGTACATTCGAGAGGAACCACGTGAAAAGTCGCTTTTGCTCTGTCAGTCGACTGATATAGATTTCGATCGACAACTCTTTTCCAGATTTTACGAAACGACTGACGTTATATTATTTTAGCAGACTATTACTATTTTGATATTTCCACCACATATAGAGAGATCGTGGAAACATCGTGGAAAATGGAAATAAAAATTGTTCGTCGTTACTTGTCGCTATCTCATTTTTCGCTTAAAAATTCGTAAAATATAAAACCAATTGGGTCTAAAATTACTCCTCGTGATCGAAATCGATTTAAACCTTCTGTCGAACATTCTTGTTGCGCATTTATCTACATGGTTCGCGAGTAATTTTGATCCCGCATTGATAAAGTGATTTACTTGAAAATTTGACGAAAGGACATTTTTTTACGATATGTCACTTCGATGTTGTGAATTTCTTACAAATACGTCATCGAAATACTTCGAAAATTCGGTGCCGCAATCTTTGTTCATAATAAAGACTTGATAGATTAATAATCGCAATTTTCCTTTTTGAAAATATATCACAAAAATTTTTATATGTCGTATCTTTTACATGTTGTATTAATCTATCTTCGCGATTGGCATCTTGTTCGCTCAAAAAAGAAATAAAATGTTCTATCGTCATTAATCTCATTAACAAATAGTCATTTATTCTAATTTGTGAATAATATTAAATTTATGTTAAAAGGCACTTCGGTGATATTGTTTCGGTTGTATTTATTGTGTGTCTTTTT